CTGGTGTTTGGGGGAAGTCATGTCTGAAACTGAACAGTTTGGTGAGAACCTGGGGTTTGGCATTTTGGCTCGACTGAATATCTTCAAGTTCCAGTGTCCACAGTGTTCCCTTTTTTTATTTTTATTGAGGATTAATTAAAAAAGAAAGAAAGACATTCCACACAGTGGGATAGAAAACATGAAGGAATCTAAAAGTAGCTGTGTTTCTATTGTCTGTATCATTGCACAATTTGACCTTTTGAAAATAAATTTGCTTAATGAAAACACAGCAATTTTGAGAAAAAAACTCTTGCTTTACAATGAAAAGTTTGGCGCGGAGATGAGGTGTTTTTACTTTTTTTTTGATTGATTAAAATCGGTTCATTTTTTGCAAAACTGCAATGAAAGCACTTTTTAATCGCATGATATGAGTCACATGATCAACAACAGGATGTTACTACTGGTTCGAACCATGAAGAAGAAGACAGGAAGTAGTTGGAGGAAGATGATGTAGCAAATCATGAGTAACGGGCAAAAAACTTCTTTTTTTATTTATGATTGACATTTTGTTGCTGTAACAGATAAAACAGGCTTAACCATTGATGCTAAAAAAAGCGTGATTGATTTGGCTGTTTTTTTTTTTGTTGTTGAGATGTAAATAAAAAAAACTGGAAAATTGTCTTTTTCATATACCTGGGACAACTTTGTTGATTCCATTCAACCGATTCAAATCGGTTGAATGGAAAAAAAATGTAGATTTAAATCTGTAAGTGGTATTGGGGTAAATTGGGGTTTAACTGTATTCAGATTAAGAAACACATTTACGTTAAAAATCATTCAGCTTCCTTAGAACGGGCGAGTTTGCCTGTTTAAATTAAAACCTGCAGATTAACCCAAACATCACAGCATGTCAAAATGAACGACTAAGCAGTTTTATTAAATCTCTCGTTCCCAGTTATGGAGCTTTTTTTCTCAACATCATCAAACTGCTCAGCAAGTTTATCTCAACAAGCAACACAGCCTCCTCATAAAGCATGAATAATCTCAGATGTGTCACATTATATAATACTGAAACCTAACATCAAGGCGCTGTATTCCCTGTCATCATCTGCACTTATTAGCGTGTTTTTTTAAAACTACTGCGTCTGTGTGACGGGGAAGCCTTGAGCGTTCTGTTTCTGTCCACTGGCTGTTTAGCGTTGCACAGATGTTCACATGGGCCCAAGAAAAACAAGAAAAGCTTTTCACACCTGGCAACTCTCAAACAAAACTTGGCACCAAAGAATCTGCGAGGTTGGCCCAGACTGACCTTTAGCTTTGCTGTGATGTCAACGATCCTTTGGACCAATTAGATGCTGGAAGCTGGCCTTGGACTTGCTGACTCCAGACGCAAAGACAAATGATTCTATCAGTTTAAATGTTTTTTAATGGCAGGCAAAGAGGCCAAACGCGGGTCTTTCAGTGGAGGCCACATGTTCGTTTCTAAAGTTATCGTGCGAAATGAGGCTCATTTGTCGCCGATATGCGAAAGAGAGGCAAACCTCTTTGTTTTGTGTTTGTTCGCAGAGACAAAACACACGAAACAACATCAGCGTAAGAACTGATTTCCTTCGGCCAACATTGTGGAACGGACATGTAGCTGGCGGCCTCTAACGACATATCAAACCTCGCAGCTTTGGATATGAAACAAACTGAGGGTAATATTCCCGGGACTCCGTCTGCCAAGAGAAACAGGGAAAGCAAGCCACACTTCCAGAGGCCTCTATTTATAACCCCACATTTAGACTCTGCACTTGGTGGCCACCACAGCAAAGGTTGCTCGAGTCATGATGGAGCCCAACACAAAAACACTGCGCCACAGGCCGGAGCTTCAAAGGAGCAGCAAGGTCAAACTATTTATTTTTATTTTATTTTTCCAGTTCAAGTCTTCACTGCAGAGTCAGCTAGACCTTATTTATTCATACAGTGGCAGGCAATGATATGGATACCTTTGCGTTGGTATGCAATAAAAATATGGATACAAAATCTTTTATTTTGTCATTTCACTGCCACAAGCTGCAAAGCATTTTATTGTGACAACCCAAAACTGCAGACAATCCTCTGTTGTCAAGTCTGACTCTGGTTGGTTAATGTCTGCTTCGCCCAGTTTCTGTGAAATCTGTGGAGATATTTGATGTTTGTGGATTTCCCCGTCCATTACACGCTATATATGTTCTTCCTTCACAATTGATGAAAAGGTTTGACAGTGGAATCCTGGATTTGCAGCACATTGTCTCACCAAATGCTACAACCTGACATGCATTCCACAGGCCGGTCAAACTGCTTCTGCGCAATAACCCGGCTGGGTCCGACCTGTACCACGCCCGAGGCGGGTCCAGGAGACACGCAGGAGTCACACTGAACCTGTAAGTGGAGACAAATCTGCAGATCAAAGCAACACATGGGGAGATTTCTGGCAGGATTGTCCTAAATGTCACTCCATCCATCTTTCCATTGACCTCCTTCCTGGACCTGGTTGAAGGAAGAAGCCCCAAAGTATAATGCTGCCACCATCATGTCAGTGTTTTAGCTTGCAGCTGTAACAAAATGAAATGTAAAGAAAGAAGAAGAAAAGAAATAAAATATATCAAACAGTTCATTTTAATATTGCTGACAGTATTTGCTGTGAAGGTCTGAGGTCCATAGAGTAGATTACTACTAAGTAGATTTTAATACAAATACATGGCGCACATTCCAAGAGTTATTCTTTACAAAATTGGAAAAACCAGAAATGTTTTTCTCTCCAGTTAACATCTGAATGGTACTTTGAGCTGCAGCTCATGTTAAAATCTATCATTTCTGGTTATAATGTGATAAAATGTGGAAAACATTCAAGAGTTATGGATGTCTGAAAAGCATCTCCAGGATTGGTGAAGTGGAAACAAGTTGCCATCCTTTGATGACCACTATGTGACCCGTTGTCTTGACAGCAAGCCTCTCAGCTGGCCGTTGGGTTTACGTGGCCACTCCTCAGGTATGGAGTGTCTGTTCTTCCTGTTAACCTCCAGATTGAGGACAATTGTCCCTCTAAGACCTCGAGGTTCTGTGATCTGCCATCCATTGAAGTCACAGGAGATTCAGTTTCGCTTCAGGTTGGTGGAAATGGGCACAGATCCAGATTAAACAAGAAAATCCCTTGATATGTGATTAAAACAGATAATCTAAATTCCTAAGTGAAACAGTTATTGTGTGTCATGCACACAGTGCCACTCCACAGTTTGAGGAATAGCAGACAAGCTACCACACAGAGTAGTTATGAGACAACTTTAAACTTTTCAAGGCAGGTTTGCTGTATTTGCACTCTTCAGTTTTTGCTTCTCATGGACATTTTTGACGCTTCAGATTATTGTCAAGTAACTCATTGAATCGTCAGACGATCCTAACTTGAGTAAGAACCAAAAGACATTTTCAAATAATGATTTAATTTAAAGAGGAAAAACAATCCAAATCAACCTGGCTCTTTGTCGAAAAGGTAAATGTTCCTGCTGTGACCTCACCATCGATGAAGCTGTAACCACCAAGAAAATTCAACTACATTAGCCATCCATCAACCCAGTTAGGGCAGTGCCGTGATAGACTTCTGGTGTGTGTTTTATAAACCCAATCTTATGCATTTACTGTATAAAATGACATCTCTTCAGCAGCGAAACAGCTTTCGCTCAAATCCCTGCCTCTGCGTCTGTGGCAGTGGAGGAAGGCTTCCTGCTCTGTCTTACTCAGCCTCTCCACCTGCAGCTGGCCGGGTCACATAATCAGCTCCCAACAGCAGTCCTGTAGCAAAACAGCTGCGGTTCACTGAGAGCACGGGGAAATTAGCATAAGCTAAGCCCCTCAGTTGATCCGTGCGTCTGTACAACGTAACGACATAATCATCTTCAAGCCTTTTAAATGCAGCCTGGTCATCGTCGCAGCTCTCCGGGGTCGGGCACGTACCCACACTGCACATAAACACACCACCCCTACTTCTTCCTGTCTATCACTATGTCTTCCATATGAACACACACACACGCACACAGGTCTGATGAGTGGGTCAGCACCTCATGTGGTGACAATGTGTGTGCTGTGGTGGTGGATGGTGCAGCCCGTCTGTAAAAGGAGGAAGTGGTGCAGCATACCCTGGAGGAGTAAGGTCCTGGGGAAGAATGTTTATCCTGTCCGTAGCCTTTGATGTTTTACTGTTAATCGCTTCCTGCAGCCTGTAGATGAACCAACTGCTACAGAGCAACAACGGTGCTGGAAGTGACAGACAATGAAAGAGGAAGGGTTGAAAGGTGACATAATCCTCACACAGCTTTGATGAGACCAAAGTACATCAAAGTTTGGAGCGACCGAATATTCCTGTGTCATGTAGAAAAGCACAAATCCTAACGTAGAATTTCCAGGAAGAGCAAGTCCAGACAGCTGCAGTACAACCAGCTGACATGAGACTGACAAGGCCCTTAGGCTGATCCACCAGGTAGTAGCTGCGTTTCTGTTACAAATGTAGAAAAAAAGCACAAATCCTAACGTAAAAGACTCTTTTTGTTCCACGTTGTTTACATTTTTTTTTTATAAATCTCCCTTTAATTAATAGATGTGGTTGTCTTATTTTCTGCTCAGTAATAGAAATAAAAATCTTACAATGAATGAACATGAGTACTGATGTTCTGGCTTTTCAATATTATCTAAAATGTCCAATTAATAACAGTAGCTCTTTTTCTAGTTCCCACCAATCACTCAACCCACTCGTGGTCTCACACCCTAGACTTCCCGTTTAGTCTTTGCTCTGAAAGTACTTTCCTCAACAGATCTTTCTGGTATTTGAGTTTAGCACTAAGTTTACGATTTATATCAAACATCTCATCAAGTTGTCTCATTAAGTATTTTTGTAGTTCGATATTTTCCAATTCAGGTTCCATAGATTTGACCTGACACATGCACTTTGCTTGACTTGTGGAAATCACAGTGTCCTTGGAATAACACTGCTTTTCCAAGGAAGCTACCTGTTCACCGTCTTTTGCTGGAACTGAAACATCTTGACCTTCAATAAAATCAGCAAAGAAATTCAGGTCGATGTGAGGTTCTGGTTCAGGGAAGACTTTCCAAATTGTCTTCTTTCCTCTGCTGGGTAAAGCTGCCTCATTACTTGGTTTTTCTGGCAGAGGACTGTTATTGACGTCACCATTTTGTGTCAAAACCGTTAGATCCACACAAGCATCTGACTCGGGGAAAGATTTCCACAATAGTGGCGTCTTCTTGATGCGCTTCGTCTTTGTTCTCTGTTTCTCCCTTTTTTGATCCACTTTCTTCTGGGATTTGGAAATGGATTTCTGTTTGGTGACCAGCTGTGTAGAAATCACAGGTTCTTCTTTAAAAGACTCCTTTTTCAAGGAATCTTTCTGATCACCTTCTTCAGGTAGAGAAGTGTCCTGCTTATTAACACTTTCAGCACAAGACTTAAAGGACTGTTCCTTCTCTGGTGTCTCCTGCAGTACGGAGATCGATTCCTGTTTGGTAACAATTGAAGCGTCTTCCGATCCAGTACTTTCAGCTGCAGTCCTTAGATCAGCAGGTCCATGTTTCTCCAACCAGATATGAAATGGAATCTTTTTCTTCTTGTGGCGCCTGGTCGTTGGTGGCTGTTCCTTAGGCTTAGAGGGCTGTTCCTTCTCTGCCATATCGATCGTCTCCTGCACTCTAGCGATGGACTCTTCTTCACTCACCAGTGACTCGTTCTGCTTTTCAATATTTCCTGCAGAAATCTCTTGGTCAACAGGGACGTGTTCCTCCAAGCAGGTTTTAAATGGTACCTGCTTCTTCTCATTGGACTCACTCTCAGGTGTCGGTCTGTCTCCTTGTTGATCCACTGTCTCCTGTGCTTTGGCAATCGATCCTTTTTCAACCACCAGTGAAGCGTCCTGCTGTTTGATATTTTCAGCAGAAATCTTTAGCTCCTCAGGCGCGTACAGCTCCCACCACACTGCAAATGACACCTTCTTCTTCTTGCGCTTGGGTGGCTTGGGTGGCTGTAATTCCCTTTTGACAATGTTGTCGAATTCAACCTCTTCGACTCTCGGCTGGTTGGACTCCATTGTAACCTTTGCTTGTTTCAGGTTCTACGATAAATCACTTCTCTAGAAACGCAGTAAAGATTTGATGTCAATCTCCAAAAGAAATGAGCACCAAACAAATTGAAAATCTTACTGTGAACTGCGAAATAAATTCTCAAGAGACAAGTATCACCAACGGCTGCTAAACGCTTGTGATGAAAGTAGATCTATGTGAGGAGCTTATAATCATTGGTGATGTCAGAATTCTGCTTTTGGAGTTATGTTGTTATGTCACATTGTGATGTCACAGGCTTGTCTAATGGACTGCAGAAAGCATCAGTGGGTTTTAAAACTGGTTTCCATAGTTACCCACCATTACTTGTTGTTTTGACGTTGGTTAGCATGTTGTCAGCGTAGCTAGCCTGGGCTACAATAACTGTTTCAAAACTGAGTAATAAAATAAGTTCAGGGGGCCCGCCACAATTTGTTTTTTATATTAATTAAGCAAAATAACAAAATTAATCATATTGTGTTTTCTAAACTAGTTTTTATCAGTAAAAATGAAATGCTGGCTCTCAGACCAAAGCACACATTCATATTTGCACTGAACCTCCTGATCTGCATGAAATGGTTCGTTCCTGCTCAGCAGAAGTCAGTAGAAGACAAGAACAACTGTGGAGATCATTTTACTACTAAAAACACTGAGAAAATCAAGTATTAAAAAAATTCAGAGATAAAAGAGAAAAAGACAAGAGAGTCAATTTATAAGCCAGTTTTTCTCTGAGAGGTGGGTCGACTGTGTGAGATGATCAACCATTCAGCATAGTTAGTTTAGCACAGGGTACTGTATGCCTCCATTTCACTAGCATTTAATGAGTTAAGGAAAATAATTACCAAGATATTCATATATTTAACTTGTCCCTGCACCTTTTACTACTTAACAACAGATGAGTCAGTCACCAATGGTTGAAGGGGTTCTGTGAACCATGTCTATGGGCATCATAATGTTGAAATTCCAACTTCGTAGACAGAACATTGTTCATTCGGATCTGACGTCAAACCCAGCTCTGAGTTCACACTTCCAAAGAAACTGCAACTCAGTATCACTGCAGACCAGAGCTTTGTCAGGTTCTCCTCTGCTGCTGTGCTTTTGTGACCCCTGGATGTCAATTCAAGAATGATAGTTTTAAAGTTTTGGATCATTTATTGTTACATTTATACAAAACAATCACACTACTTTAATTGTTCTATTAAAATGTTCACACTTGTTTTATTTTTATGACTCTCTTTTAAGGTGTAATATGCAACTTTTATAATAAATATTTTATTACATAGTTTTTTAAACCATCTGTTATGAAAGTTGTGGCAGTTTAATGTGAGACAAATGTCCTGTGAAATAAATGATCTCCTCTGCCTTCTCCCAGTGCTAACTAGGAACAACCAATCAGAGCTGGGAGGCGGGTTGTTTCTCCACCATTAGAACTTTGATTGATTGGCAGCACTAAGCCCCGCCTACTGGCTCTAATTGGTTGTGTCTGACCTGGAATGAGGTGGAGATCAATCTATACACAGATTACAGTTAGGGCCAGAAATATTTGGACAGTAACACAATATTTGTGAGCTGGGCTCTGCATGCCACCGCATTGGATTTGAAATGAAACCTCTACAACAGAATTCAAGTGCAGATTGTAACGTTTAATTTAAAGGGTTGAACAAAAAATATCTGATAGAAAATGTAGGAATTGTACACATTTGTTTACAAACACTCCACATTTTAGGAGCTCAAAAGTAATTGGACATATAAACATAACCCAAACAAAAAAGTTTTTTCTCAATATTTTGTTGTGAATCCTTTGGAGGCAATCACTGCCTTAAGTCTGGAACCCATGGACATCACCAAACGCTGGGTTTCCTCCTTCTTAATGCTTTGCCAGGCCTTTACAGCCGCAGCCTTCAGGTCTTGCTTGTTAGTGGGTCTTTCCGTCTGAAGTCTGGATTTGAGCAAGTGAAATGCATGCTCAATTGGGTTAAGATCTGGTGATTGACTTGGCCATTGCAGAATATTCCACCTTTTTGCTCTCATGAACTCCTGGGTAGCTTTGGCTGTATGCTTGGGGTCATTATCCATCTGTACTGTGAAGCGCCGTCCGATCAACTTTGCAGCATTTGGCTGAATCTGGGCTGACAGTATATCCCGGTACACTTCAGAATTCATCCGGCTACTCTTGTCTGCTGTTATGTCATCAATAAACACAAGTGACCCAGTGCCATTGAAAGCCATGCATGCCCATGCCATCACGTTGCCTCCACCATGTTTTACAGAGGATGTGGTGTGCCTTGGATCATGTGCCGTTCCCTTTCTTCTCCAAACTTTTTTCTTCCCATCATTCTAGTACAGGTTGATCTTTGTCTCATCTGTCCATAGAATACTTTTCCAGAACTGGGCTGGCTTCTTGAGGTGTTTTTGGGCAAATTTAACTCTGGCCTGTCTATTTTTGGAATTGATGAATGGTTTGCATCTACATGTGAACCCTTTGTATTTGCTTTCATGGAGTCTTCTCTTTACTGTTGACTTAGAGACAGATACATCTACTTCTCTGAGAGTGTTCTGGACCTCAGTTGATGTTGTGAACGGGTCCTTCTTCACCAAAGAAAGTATGCGGCGATCATCCACCACCGTTGTCTTCCCTGGACGCCCAGGCCTTTTTGAGTTCCCAAGCTCACCAGTCAATTCCTTTTTCCTCAGAATGTACCAGACTGTTGATTTTGCTACTCCAAGCATGTCTGCTATCTCTCTGATGGATTTTTTCCTTTTTTTCAGCCTCAGGATGTTCTGCTTCACCTCAATTGAGAGCTCCTTTGACCGCATGTTGTCTGGTCACAGCAACAGCTTCCAAATGCAAAACACACACCTGGAAACAACCTCAGACCTTTTAACTACTTACTTGATTACAGGTTAACGAGGGAAAGGCCTTTTGAGTTACTTGCAGCCTTTGGAGTCCATTGTCCAATTACTTTTGGTCCCTTGAAAAAGAGGAGGCTCTGCATTACAGAGCTATGATTCCTAAACCCTTTCTCCGATTTGGATGTGGAAACTCTCATATTGCAGCTGGGAGTGTGCACTTTCAGCCCATATTATATATAAATTGTATTTCTGAACATATTTTTGTCAACAGCTAAAATAACAAAACCTGTGTCACTGTCCAAATATTTCTGGCCCTAACTGTATCTGTCACAACATGGTGAAGGTTTTAACAAATATGTTTGAAACATGTTTCATAAAAGTTACATACAGCAGCTTTAGCTTACATGTTTCTGACAGGAGAGTACTTCGAACTCGATTGATTTTGGTTCCTGTAATTTGTGGAAAACTGCAAATTGACTTTTTTTAGTTTTGCAATTTCCATCTCGTGCAGAACTAATAATGTTGAATGTTCATATTCAACCTACAGTAGTTCAACGGTGTCGGCAGAAAAGAAAGAGTGTTGTTTCATGCAACTTGACTTGGACTTGCCACCACAAAGACCTGAGATCTGACTTGGATCTGGAAAAAAATAACTTGAGGCCAGCGCTGGTCCCCATGCTGCCCACCTGACCCCTGCTCATCTTAACCTCTGTCCGTCTGAGAGCACTGTGGGTTTCAGGGGCCCCAATGCCACACCTGGCATCCCAAATTACAACAGGCAGCCAAGGACATTCAAAACTCAAAGAGAACCTTTCCTGACCTCCATCCAGACCTCTGTTTGTTGTCTGACTGCTTCTGTAAGCAACAAAAATACACAGGCGCTGTCTTCACGTTCAGAGACACAAGTTTGTGACAGGTTGAGAAGCTTTTAATAGTGGCAGAAGCTTTTTTTTTTTCCTGGCGTATGCCATGTGGGTGGAAGCTGTGCTGAAAGACGAGCTCTTTGTCTGGTGATTGTTGTGAAGCTGCCACAGCAAGCCGCTCTGAGAAAGAAATGACATGAAGAAACAAAGACACATTTTGGGGGATTTATGGATGTTCTTGATTTTTTTCTTTTCTTGTCGGGCTTCGTCTACATGTGAGGTTAGGCTGTGTTTTAAAAGGTCTCGTCAGCCACTCATTCAGTAATGCCCTGCAGCTTGTTCCAAAGCATGCAGTCTGCTCTCTCAACTTTTCTCTGCACAGACACAAATTCATATTTCTAGAAATATTCAAACTGTATATTGACTTTTGCTCATTTTACTAACTTCATTTATGTCCAACACTTTCCCCAACATTATCAGTGTACTCCTAGCCCTAAAATGAACCAAAATCTGCTTGTGCACCTAACCCGTCACCCTCAATAAGGCGGTCCAGCGCTTCAGGACCAGGCTTTGGAAGGTTTCAGCGGTGGTCAGAGGTTTAGGAAATGTTTTTGTTACTTTCTTGTGGATTGCGCTTTTGTGATTCCTGAAGCTGTTCAAACTGCAGCTAATTCTGAGCGCTGCTTCAGGGTTCTCAAATAATAAAGTGAGCCGGAACAATACAAAAATAACTGTAGAAATAAGTACATAAAGAAGAAGCTGCAGATGCCACATACAGCCCCGCTCAAGTTTTGACATCATGCGATTTACCATCAGGTTGTTCACTGACTCATGCTGTTTAAGGGTAAGGTTTGTGTGTGTGTGTGTGTTCGTGTGTGTGTGTGCACCTATCTCTGACAGGGCTTGCGTGACTAGTGGGGAGTGTGAGCACATAGTGGGAAGGTTCCTCTTCTGCCTGAGGGAAATAGCAGTGCGTTGTATCCACCTAACCTCATTTAATCCCACAGAAACTTTTTAAAGAGCATGTAAAACAGCATGCCCCCTCTGGTAGCAGCGCACACATGCAGTATCAGAATGCTAACACGCGTGAACGCTACAGTTCTTCCAGAAAGCCTTTGAGCTACCGTGTCAGACCAGCACAAAGACGGCTTGCTCTCCAGATTTATGGTTTGAAAACTCAGGTTCAAGATCTGCACGTATTATCTTCAAGTCAGCATGTTGAACTTTAAATAACTTTTTACTTTTTTTTTTTTACTTAACTACTTGACACATTTGAGGTACACAGAGTGCTCATCTCCTCACCAGCAAAACCTTATTTATTGCTTTTAAAAGTACCAAAGAGAGACCATTTCAACT